GTTTTATTTGCAGATTCTTCATCAACATTTCAACCTATTTTTAGTCCAGTTGCTGCTACAGTCTCTGCTCTCTCAACACTATTCCGCTTTTCTTTTGCAGAGTTTAATTCTGCTAGCCGTCTTTCTGAGTCTCTAAGCATAATGGCTGAACACGTCCTCAACTTCGTCACCCCAATCATAGAGAAAGCAGTTTCTGAAGCAATTTCACTTGCTGCTGCACAAATCAGCATGGCATGGGGTCTGGAGAAGGAGCTGGGGGAGCTCGCTCAAACACTAACTATGATCCAAGGATTGCTTCAAGATGCTGAAGGGAGGCAAGAAAGCAATCCAGCCATAAGGAATTGGTTACAGCAGCTCAGAGATGTAGCTTATGATGCAGTGGATGTACTGGATGAGTATGGTTATGAGGTTCTTAAGCACAAAGTTCAGACTCAAGGCGGAAAGAGGAAACAGGTGCACACCTTCTTTGGTCTTTTCAATCGCACTGCCTTTCGTCTTAGCATGGCTGATAAGATTAGGAAGATTAATGAGTCTCTGGTTAGAATCAAAGACAATGGGGTTTTGGTTTTGCTGATCAGATCTAGTGACCAAAGTCATTCCGCTGCTGGTGCAAGGCAATATCCTAAGACAGATTCCATCCCTGATTGTTTAACATTTGTAGGAAGGCATAATGATGTCTTAGAAATTGTCAACAAGCTGGATAACATAAGGAGTCAACATATCCTTTCTGGCATTTCAATAGTAGGCTTTGGGGGCATAGGCAAGACAACATTAGCAAAATCAATATGCAGTACGGTAAAAGAACAAAAGTTGTATGATCTGGTGGCTTGGGTTTGTGTGTCCGAGGAATTTGATGAAAAAACAATATTAGGAGATATGTTAGAATACCTTGATGGCTATGTTGGTCGAATGAATAATATTGATGCACTTATTCAAAAGCTTGGGCAGAAGTTAGAAAATAGAAAATTTCTTTTAGTTCTTGATGATGTGTGGAATGATGATAGAGACAAGTGGGATAGTTTCATCTCTCGTTTGTTAAAAGTTTTAAAAACCAGTGGAAACTCCATTCTTGTGACTTCTCGTAGTGATAAGGTAGCATCCATAATGGAGGCACTTCCAATGCAAAAACATGATATTGTAAAGTTATCAGATCATGAATGTTGGTTGATAATTGAGGGCATAGTTCTCAGATCATCAACAGAAACTTCAATACCTTTGGATTTAGAAGTTATTGGACAAGAAATTGCCAAAAAATGTGGGGGGTTGCCATTAGTTGCAAGTGTAATTGGAGGAACATTAAGTCGTGAAATGAAGACAGATAAGTGGCAAGAGATCCTAGATGATGAAGCATGGATTTTGCAAGATGAAAATAAGAAGATTTTATCTATACTGAAAATGAGTTTCGATCGTTTGCCTTCAACCTTAAAAAAGTGCTTCTCTTATTGTTCAATTTTTCCAAAGGATGCTGTCATTTTAAAAGATGATTTAATTCAACTCTGGATGGCTCAAGGGTTTGTTCACAGGTCTAGTGAAAGGCTTGTGGAATTGGAGGATATTGGTGAGGAGTATTTCAATGAGTTGTTATCTAATGCTTTATTCCAAGATATTAAATGGGATTTGTATGGGAATATTATATCTTGCAAAATGCATGATCTGGTGCACGATCTTGCATTACTTGTTTCAAAAGGTGAGACCTTGATTTGGGATACTAGTTGCAACATTGTTGACCAGAATTTTAGTACCATTCGACATTTAAGAGTCAAGTCTGATGGAAAGCATCTTCCAACCATTCCAAAAGTTATTGCTCAAAGGTTGCATTCTTTGTTTT